TATTCAAAATACTAACAGAAAAAAGAAATGTACAGGTAACTAACAAATTTTTTTCTTTCTTTCTTTCTTTTTTTTTTGGAGAGGTTTTGCTATAGGGTGTGTGTGCTCACCAAAAAGACAGAGACAAAGAGACAGAAAGCGAGAAATTACCCCCCGGGGGATGGCCACACCACAATCCCTTCTCCTCCATTCTTCTCTCAGGATCTTGGGCACGCATGCACACGCGCCCGGCGTGAGTTTAAGCCAGCAGGTCCAGGACTTGAACCGCAGTCTACTACATGGGAGTCCAGCGCACTCCCCTTTACCCTTCAGATTGCCACCCAGGCCCAGGAGCCCAGCTCACCGCTCGGTCTCCTAAACTGAAGGGCCTCGCATTTCACCTGCAGTGCTCTTCCCAAGAGGGCACGGAGAGACTCAGAGTCAAGACCGAGAGTCTGCAAAGAGCAAAGGGAGGGTACACATGGCTGTCCTCTCCCAGCCAGTCAGGGCCAGGAGTCAACCACGTCCTTAGTGCAATGCTTTCTCAGTTCGACCTTGATGCCATACACATGTGAGAGTTTAACAAAAATGAGGAGTGAATGATCCCTATCCTATTCAAAATACTAACAGAAAAAAGAAATGTACAGGTAACTAACAAATTTTTTTCTTTCTTTCTTTCTTTTTTTTTTGGAGAGGTTTTGCTATAGGGTGTGTGTGCTCACCAAAAAGACAGAGACAAAGAGACAGAAAGCGAGAAATTACCCCCCGGGGGATGGCCACACCACAATCCCTTCTCCTCCATTCTTCTCTCAGGATCTTGGGCACGCATGCACACGCGCCCGGCGTGAGTTTAAGCCAGCAGGTCCAGGACTTGAACCGCAGTCTACTACATGGGAGTCCAGCAACATAGCCATTATGCCAACTACAGGTCCCCAAGATAACTACCAAATTTCTATTGCTAGTTAAGATTGGAGGCCCCGTTTCTGTGGCACAGTGGTAATACAAGTGCCCTGCAAAGCTGGAAATGATATGTTCAACCATGGGTTTGGATCCCCTGGCTGACTTGAAAACAGGCTGGGCATCAGGGATCCTAAGGAGTGAGAGATTCAGAAAAGGTATCATGGCTTGAAAAACCCCTGTCAGAGGTGCCCCTTTCTTTGTATGCATATGCTCATAATTAAAAATTAAAAAGAAGATTTGATATTAATACCTCATTGGACATTTGATCATTTAACTTAAAGGGAAGGTGGAACAGGGAGAATACTTTTCATTGAAATGATGAAATCTTTAACACATACAAGTTTGCCATGCCTAACTGGGCAATAATAATTCCTTTATTCTAACAAAACAAAACACATTCTTACACATAATTCCCAATAATTTTGATATCTAGCTATAAAGCCCAGATGAACCAGATTTATCTAACGTCTTAGATTTTCAATTTCTACTGTGTAAAGCAAATGGGTCAATTATCTTCCGAAGCTAAGATTCTATGAGCAATCTCTGGAGCCAGAAGGTGGTGTGGTGGTTAAGGCGCTAGATTCCCACGTGACCAACTGTGGTTCGAGTCCTTATCTGGCAGCTTAAAAATCATGCCAGGTGCATGTATGTGCATACCCAAAATCCTAAGAGGAGAATGGACGAGAAGAGACTACAACATGGCCGTCTCTCCTGGGAGGTGATTTCTCGCTGCCCCCACCCCACCCCTACCCCGGCTCTTTCTCCAGCAAGAGCATGTGCCCTATGGCAAAACCTTAAAAACAAACAAACAAAAAAAGATTCTATGAGCCATCTCTAGTGGCTTATAAAATGAGTTTAAAAAATGCTCAGAACTGGGACCAGCAGGTGGTGTGGTGGTTGAGGTGCTGGATTCCCACACAGCCAACCATGGTTTGAGCCCTAGACCAAGCAACTTGCTTTCTCACTTTCCCTCTCCCTCTCTCTGTCTCTCTCTGGTGAGCACACATGCCCAGTAGCACATTTTAAAAATAATATTAATAGTAATTTTTTAAATTAAATCAATAATTCTCTTGGTGGGGAGGGAGAACCAGAACTTAGGATCAGCAGGTGCTGTAGTGGTTAAGGTGCTGGACTCTCACATGGACAACTGTGATTCAAGTCCTGGATCCAATGGCTTGGAAATCATGCCAGGTACATGCACGTGCCCAAAATCCCGAGAGGAGAATGGAAGAGAAGGGATTGTGGTAAGGCCATCCCCCAGGTGGGTGATTTCTCACTTTCCTTCTCTCTGTCTCTCTCTGGTGAGCATACAAGCCTTATGGCAAAAACCTTTCAAAGAAAACAGAAGTTGTCCTGCTGATACAAAGGAGAGGAGGCTAAGCAAGGGCTAAGGATACAGGGTTAGGTTCAGCTGTGAGGGGAGGGAACGGGGTGGGAGGGAAGGGAGGTATGCGGCTCAGCCAGGCCTCTAACCAAGGGCAGCCTTGCAAAAGGCCACTGAACTGAAAGTCAAACGCTCACACCCTTGAATAAATCTACTACTCTTTAAGGCTGAGTGTCCTCATTTTAAAATAAGGACACAATGTCTACAGGAATGTCCGCACAGAGTGATTGTGACAATCGGATATACCGTATGTGAACACACTTTGACAACTCACTACATAAATTAGCTATATTCTCCCCCTCCAATTTTTTTTTTTTTAGCGGTTTTCGCTATAGGGCGCGTGCGCTCGCCAGACAGACAGAGAGAGACATAGAGACAGAAAGCGAGAAATCACCCCCAGGGAGGATGGTCACACCGCAATCCCTTCTCCTCCATTCTCCTCTCGGGATCTTGGGCACGCACACGTGCCCGGCGTGAGTTTTAAGTCACCAGGTCCGGGATGCGAACCGCGGTTGTCTACGTGGGAGTCCAGTGACATAGCCATTATGCTAACTGCTGGTTCCCAGTAGCTCATTTTTAAAATAAGGTGTTTGTGCTATGGACACTATGGCTAGTTTTCCTTTCATAATCTTAAAATACTGAGTACTTTTTCATAGTAGATGTTCTTAGATAAGTGCTTTAAAGATTTAGATGTGAAGAATTTAATATCACCGCCTTCTGTAAGATTCTCTAGGGTTACACTAAAATTACCCAAGAAGGAAACTGTGTATCTGGATGGTGTAATCTGGTCAAGTGGCAGGATTCTAAGTAGCAATTACCCAATCATTTAGGAGGCTAGAATCTCTGAAGAGCTCTTCCTCTTTTCCTAAGCCGCCTGAGGTGATCTTTGAAAATGGTTGGCTATTCACTTGACCCAGAGAACTCCACAAAGTCATGCAAATCAAGAGGTTCAAATCTTCCTGTTCACTTTAAAAACATTCATGAAACCGCCCAGGCCATCAAGGGTATGCATTCCGAAAAGCCACCAAGTATCTGAAGGATGTCACTTTACAGGAGCCGTGTGTGCCATTCCGTCATTACAATGGCGGAGTTGGTAGATGTGCCCAGGCTAAACAGTGGGGCTGGGCACAAGGTCAGTGGCCCAAAAAGAGTGCTGAGTTTTTGCTGCACCTGCTTAAAAATGCAGAGAGTAAAGCTGAACGTAGGGGTCAGATGTGGATTCTCTGGTCATTGAGCACACTCAGGTGAACAAGGCACCCAAGCTGCTCCGTCGTGTGTACAGAAACTCGTGGGGAGATTAACCCAGACGTGAGCTGCCCTGCCACGTGGAGATGATCCTCACTGACGAGGAGCAAATTGTACCTAAACCAGAAGAGGAAGTTGCACGAAGAAAAAGATAGCCCAGAAAAAACTGAGGAAACAAAAACGTACAGCATGAGAATGAAGAATAGTCAGCGTAAAATAAATGTAGATAAAAGTGGGGGAAAAAAAAAAAAAAGAATCTCTCCAACGAGACAACATGAAGGCTGATGTTTATTGAGCTCGGGCCGCTTCCGCCATGCAGTAACAGAACTGTCCATACAAAGTCCTCCTGGCAGATGATCTGACTCTAAAGGCAGAGAAGGGGCCTCTGAGCACAGAAAGGACAGAGCTAGGGCTGGGGTCTATTTAACCGCAGAGATGGCAGAAGGAGAGAGAGCACACAACGGCAAACAAACACCCGGAGATTTCACTTTTCCGAGCTTCTAATTCCTCATCTATGAGGGGCTTCAAAATATTCATGACAGGGACCAGCAGTTAGCGTAATGGCTATGTCACTGGACTCCCATGTAGTCGATTGCGGTTCGAGTCCCAGACCCAGCGGCTTAAATTCATGCTGGGTGCATGTGCATGCATGCCTAAGATCCCAAGAGGAGAATGGAGGAGAAGGGATTGTGGCATGGCCATCCCCTGTGGGGGGTGATTTCTCGCTTTCTGTCTCTCTGTCTCTCTCTGCCTCTCTGGAGAGCGCACGTGCCCTGTAGCAAAAATCTCTCAAAAAAATATTCACGGCAAAAATGAAATTAACGTACGAGTTCATCTTAGTGGAAAAAAAGTTTGCAATCCATGTATTTGATTCTCAGAGTCTACATTTTCTATGAGCTTTTTTCCTTGATTCGTGATAAAGCAGGTGTGTGTACATGAGAGAGAGCACCCTGCCTCAGGCTCTGGCCACACCCTGGTCCCCTTTCTCTAGTCCCTCCATCCTGTTGGCTTCTGAGCACTGGCATGTGTGCCAAGCAGGTTTCCCCTGGCCGAGGATTTGAACCATAGTCACCATGTGAGATTTCCCTGGAGCCCATTACTGCTGTGCCACAGATCTGGTCCCTCCATAAATTTTATGAAGACCCCTGTCTAAAATAACGACAAGAGTCCCCCCGTGGGACACATGCATTAGAAGATTACTCGTTAGATTATAGTGCCGCTTTGCTCCTGAGCACAGGAAGCACCTAATAAGTCGGAAATAGTATTGCTGGGAAAAACGGGATATTCCAGTTATCTTTGCACCTCAAGTAAACACCCTGCCCCTTTAAACAGCAAATTGCACTAGGAGTTCCTCCCAAACAGTGTACAACAGGAGAGCGCGTGGGAATTCCGCTTCAGGGGTGGAGAGTGGGAGGCAGGGAGTAACACTTACTTATCCAGTTTCGGACATTGAGGAAACTTTGCTCATTTGTTACATCAAAAAGCAGAAGAAAACCCATGGCGTCTCTGAAGAAGGCAGTTGTCAAGCTCCGGAACCTGGGAACGGGAAAGCAGGATGGTCACCTAACCCCGGCCCCATTCCTGAAATATCAACCGACCAGCAATGCCCTCAGCCCCTTGCACATTTCAATAACGATCAATGAAGGTATCCAAAGTGTACAGGGCGGTTCCTTGCCTCTTCCACACGCTTACGGGTTAGCAGACCTTGCGACTTGAACACTAAGCCGGCCGGACAGGCGTGGCGAGAAGGACCTCGTGATCTTAGCGGCACCCGAGGTCTGATTGCACAGCTGAGTTAATCAGGTCAGAAGCAGCGGTGCTTGCTGTGTACGTTTTCCTTCTGTGAAAGCTGGATATGCTGTGCCGGTACGTCCCATGGCCTCTGCATGTGGGTCTCTACAGAAATCTCTTATCTCCGATAAGCACTTACTTGGCTTTGGGGTGGAATAGTATTGACTCAGGCCCTATCCCTTCTCGGTGCTCTGGCTTCCAACAGCACTAACTTTGCAATAAAGAAATAAACCGTCCAGCTTTAGTCTGCCGCCTCCTCTCTTTCCCCCTAACAATGACCTTCCTGTCACTTTGCCTCCATGCAAAGCTTGTAACTGACGGGCTAGACTGAGGACAAGAATATTGGGATAAACCTGTCATCTCATCAGCACTGTGAGGTTTTTCCCAAGTATTTTTAACCAGTGTTTTCATAAAGACAAAAGGTCTTATCACTTAGAGATAAATACCAAACTAATTATGAAAAAAAAAAAATGTCTGGGATTTCTTTCCAAAGACTACAGAAGCTGAGGGGTGAGAAGCAGGAAGGGAGACACAGGGAATAATAGCAGCCACAATTTGATAACTGCTGAAACTGAGTACCGAGCACAAGTTCAAGATACCATCCTCTCCACTTGGGTATATGTTTGAAGGTCTCCATAACAAACAGTTTTTAAAAATGAAACAAAACAAACTCTTTAAAGGTGTCTTTGAGAAGAAAAACAGAAGCTGTAGCTAACTAAAAGCAATTTTCTATCAACGTTTCATGTGGCTTGTTTTGGTCAAGTAACCCTCTGGCTACACGAATTAATTTAACCAGATTTCTCACTGGGTTTTAACAATCGAGTAATAACAAGGTGATTTTGCAGCTTTCTCATGGTCAAGTAAATAGCAAAAGAAATGGAGAAAAACGTGCAATTCTTTAAGATGAAGAAAAAAAAATCAAACTAAGACTATCCATTTGGAAAGAGATTCATCTTTCCTTTGATCGTGTATGGAATAAAGCTGCTGTTATCATCCCAGACTCATAAATTTCCTACTAATGTGGCAGCCTCTCTTATCCAGGAGCAAACCGACTAATCAGCGGGCTTTTTCCTGCTCAGGTTACTGGGTGAGAGTGTAGCTGGTTTGTTTTTTTTTTTCTTTTTTCTTTTCCTTTCTTCAGTAGGAGCATGTAACCGAAGATTCCATACCTCTCTTGCCCTGCTGTGTCCCATAACTGCAGGTGGATCCTCTGGCCTCTGCCAGCGGCTCCATCTGGCCCACTGGCTCTGTACACCTGAAACACAAAGTGAAAAAAGAACTTCTGAGACCAGTGACCTCTTCTCACCTTTCCATTCATTGCAAATCCCCAAAGCTGCTAACCTTAAGCAAACTCCCTCTAGAATACAATCCTATGTGTATTTTATGCTAAATAATTGTATATGCATAATAAAATAATTCATATTAATAAACATACACATTATATATTTAAAACATTTTTAAGCAATTTTTTAAAATTATTTGTAACACAGTATCATCATCTTATCTTTCTTCAAAGTTCCCTTGGATCACTATTTCAGGAAATAGTTCCTTCCCATGGCTTTTCTCTATACAATTTTTATTTTTTTCCTTAAGACAGGATCTTGCTGTGACAATCCATCCTTAGCCTCCCAAGTAGCCAGGACCATAGACCGCCAATCCTGGCTCTTTTCCAGGCAGGGTGTTGCTATGTTGCCCAGGCCAGTCTCACGTTGGGCAACTCCTGCATCAGCCTCCCAAGTCACTAGGATTACAGGCACACACCGCCAAGCCCAGCCCATGCCCCGGCAGGGGATTGAACCCAATCTCCCACGTGGTCTCAGCCTATAGATCAGGGCCTTAGCAACACATGCCACCCTGGCTGCACCCCTATTTGATCTTTAAAGAGTGCTCTTAAAACAATATGATAGAAATCACTTCTGGAACAGCACAGAGAGAACCCTCAAAAATCTCTTCCTCCTTAAAAACAATGGCAATACTGATAAAAATGTCAAGATAACTTTTTCATAACTCCGGAAATTAACAAAGGTTTGCAACACCTCCAGGATCATTTATTCAAGAAAAACAGCAGCATATCAGGAGAGTGTGGGAGGGGAAGAGCATAGGAAAGGAAATTTCAGGAAAACAGTAGAGAGGTAAAGCATTTGTGGGACACAGATATGGTTTATTATCTGTCGATGAGGACGTGTATAGTATTCTCAACTGGGCTGGACTGAGGTGCATATCATGCTGGGGAA